ACCCATGAAGAAGGCAGTGATGTCTAAGAAATGTTCACAACCAAGGGACCCGATCACATTCTTTCCTACCACTCCCCTGTATAAGCCAACAACCTAAGCTGAAAACAACACAGAAGGAGAAGGAAAGACAGGATGATCCTTAGTTCCTTTTTATCAGGCCCTCCTGAGTCATCAGGAGCATAAGGTTGGTAGAACATGAGCATATCATGAAGTGAAATAAAGACAGTTCAGTAAGTTTTGTGCAGTGTTGAGACCCGGGTTCGATCCCTGGGTCGGGAAGATCCCCTGGAGAAGGAAACGGCAACCCACTCCAGTACTCTTGCCTGGAGAATCCCATGGCGGGTGGAACATGGTGGGCTGCAGTCCACGGGGTCGCAAAAGTCGGACACGACTGAGTGACTTCACTTCCACTGTTCTGGTCACAAGTATATATGTATGTTGCTGCTCCTGTTGTTTTATCACTCCACCATGTCTGCCTCTTTTGAGACCCCATGGACTGTAGCCCGCCAGGCTCCTCTGTCCACGGAATTCTCCAGGCAAGAATACTGGAGTGGGTTGCCATTCCCCTCTCCAGGGAATCTTCCCGACACAAGGATGAAGCCCAGGTCTCCTGCACTGCAGGCAGATTCTTTACCATCTGAGCCACCAGGAAAGACCTAACAGATTGAATAAATACATGCAATTACCTAAAGTATTTATCCCCCACCCCCCACCCCTCCCACACACACCAACCTTGGCATTCTCAACACCCCGGCTCCATTCCCACAAGGCTACGAAGGCCTCTCTCCCCAGGCCGGGGGGCAGTGACTCCCTGCTCTAAGGTACTGGGAGGGAGAGCTGCTAGGCCAGTTCTTTTCCCCCAAAATCCATTCCCAGGGTCATGAGCTCCACCCTACTATCACTGCCCCAAAGGCATGAGAAATAACACATAATGAAGCTTTAAATGTTGTCCTTCTTGACTTAAGTTAATTTTAGAGCAAAACAACTATTACGTATGGATTTGTACAGCATGGCCTGATTGGTGGTGAAATAATTTATTCTGAAGCATGAGTCAGATTGCAATTAAGTCTATAGGGCATTTCATTCCAAATTCCCTGGCTAGGGGTGATCAAAATCTCATCTACTATACTGCAAGAAAGACTGAATTTCATTTTTTATTCTTGAAACAATGTAAAATTTAAATGGGAAGGCAAAAAAGAAAAATTACACAAGAACATTAGAAATAAATTCCATGGAAAGAAAAATAAACAACTTCTATCAAACAGCACAACACAGATGTGGACTCTGTGAAGGCCTCTTCTCTAAATACCAAAGAGATCATTCAAACATAGTTTATGAGATGTGTTCAGATACATTCATAATCTGAATATATTTCGCATACCCGAGGCTGGAAGTCCACTATCTTGGGCATGGTTGGGCCTAATCCCTTTATGTCCTGTCCTTGGGCTATGTCATTCTTGAAAAGACTGTGCCCTGCCCCCTTCCTGGCTCATTCCTAACAAGATTTATAAAGGACCAAAGATAATGTTCAGAGAAGAGTATCTAAGAATGTGTGTGTGTGACCAATGACATACAATCACAAAATGGGAACTTAAGGCTCCAAGAAAAAAAAAAAAAGAAGGCATAGAGAATGTGAATCAATATCTCAAATCCCAAACTATCAATTTACCCTAAGTAGCAGTTAAATATGAAAAATACACCAAATATTAAAGTATACCTTTACCAGAAAATCATCATTCAGATTTAATTTTAGAGATGATTAGAATCATTCAGATCATCAAGACAGCCATCTGCTTTCAAGCACGCAGCTGCGCGCCTCTGAACAGCAACTTTCCGTGATTCATAACTTATTCATCCCAGGATGCTCTCTGACATCTGCTTTATCATCAGTTCAGCTTGTCACAGCATTTCACTTCAAAGTTTCATAACCTCTACCCAGGTGACACAGTGAACCAGTAAGGCAGTCTTCTTGCACAGAGAGAATCAACTGTATAGCTCCCCAAGACTGATGATCCAATCGTGAAATCATATACATGCAAAAGTGTATAAACACATTCTTGGGATGTCCCTGGTGATCCAGTGGCTAAGACTCCATGCGCCCAATGGAAGGGGAGCCCAGGTTTGACTCCTGGACAGGGAACTAGATCCCATATGCTGTAATTAAGACCTAGTACAGCCATATAAATAAATAAATAAAATATTTTTTGAAAAATACACATTCTTAGCTACTGCCTTTTAAAACCATAATGTCAGTAATGGTTACTGTTTCAACCCCCTGTCGGCCAGGCACTTCAAGTTCACCTTCATCACCACTCTGGAAAACAGATATTCTGACCTTCAGTTAACAAGTGGACAAATCAGCAAGATGACTTACCCAGTGCCACTAAGTAGGGACATGGCCGAGGTAAGGCAGGAGGAGAAGGGCATGACAGAGGATGAGATGGCTGGATGGTATCACCGGCTCAATGGACTTGAGTTTGAGTAAACTCCGTGAGTTGGTGATGGACAGGGAGGCCTGGCATGCTGCGATTCATGGGGTCGCAAAGAGTCGGACCCGACTGAGCGACTGAACTGAACTGAACTGATGCATGAGTTATAACTCATAGAATTGTACATTCAAAAAGAGGTCAATTTAACTGAACATAAATTTTTTAAAATAATAAATTAATAAAAGTTTTTTAAAAAAGCCTTTATGCCAACAGAAGAGAATTTAAGTTGGCAGACTGTAAACCTTACAGTTAGACTGCCTGCTATATAATTTATTTATTCATGGATCTCTCAGGAATTGGCAATAGGTTTATGTAAATAAAGAAAAGCTATAACTCCCTTGTAATATGTATTTTCTTAAATACTTTCGATAGCTCTCTCTAGAACTATTTTTGCTAAATGTTTTTCAAACTAAACTTAGAAGTAAAGTGTGCATGCAAAGTGTGCATGCAAACAAGAAGCGTGCATGCAAAGTCACTTCAGTCGTGTCTGACTCTTTGTGGCCCTATGTACTATAGCCCACCAGGCTCCTCTGTCCTTGGGATTTATACTGAAGTGGGTTGCCATTTCCTTCTCCAGGGGATCTTCCCAACCCAAGGATCAAACCTGCATCTCCTGCTTGCAGGTGGATTTTTTACCACTGAGCTACCAGGGAGGCCCATAAATGGTATAAGAAGGAGGAAAAGGGTAGAACTGAATTGTCTCCCCTATATAAAGTGAAAAAACCACCCAAAGATCCTGCCCAACTTAAGCTCTGTCCCTTATAACCTGCAGATTAACTGAAAGAAGAGAATGCAAAAATATGGTAAGAGTGAATCATAACTAGAGTTATGTAAACTTCATTCCACTGTACTCCTGGACTTAAATTGGCTTCATGAATCTCTGTCACTTTTCACCTTGCCTTTAAGGTAAGCAGAGAAGCAGCAGGACAATTCAAAGACAGGCCAGTGTGTGCAGGCAAGGCCAGAACTAGACCTCAGGCTTCTTGTCTCCCTTTGCTAAAATCCAGAAAAGCTACCATGGGTTTTGAAGGACATAGTGCCCACTGACCCAATGAACAGCCCATTGTTAGTCTGTTATTATTTTCTTCTTGAATTATCTAAGTTTTAAAATTAATTTTGGTATAATCATAGCACTTGCTTCTGTTCCCTCCCGTCATGAGTGTCAGGCTGGCTTGGAGAAAGCAGTGGGGGAGTGTTTCCCTTGACTTAGTACAAAACATCTGGAGCCCCAGATTAAAGAGGTTTAGAAGAGCAGTAGTCCTAGAAATGAGACTGTGATGCTGAAAATTTAGCAGGGTTAAAAAAAATAATTCATTGTCCTGATTTTCTTTCAGAATAATGTCACAGTGATCAGTAGACGAGCAGGTAATGGACAAAATATTTTTAGCACCCTGTCCTTATTGCCCCAAAATCCTTATGACTTTTCAAGAAAAATTCTAAATTGCAGAAATGACCCAAAAAGTGTTTCCCTATGGGTTTCCGTACATATCCTATTCAGGTCAATTTATGCCATCTCTAAGGGTTATTATAAAGAGATGGCACTAATACAAAACTTGGGGAGAAATGGAAAAATAAAGCCCTATCTACATAATGGGCTGCTTAAGCCAAGTCAGTCCACTCCAGAAATTCCTCACCGCTCATTTCACAACCTTTCACCCACAATCACGCCTTAGGAGAATCTCTGTTCAATCCCTGTTTTGGGAAGATCCCCTGGAGAAGGAAATGGCAACCCACTCCACTATTCTTGCCTGGGGAATCCCCTACATAGAGGCGCCTGGCAGGCTACAGTCCATGGGGTTGCAAAAGAGTCAGACATGACATAGTGACTAAACAACAAAGTTAACATCACCCAACAATCCTAACTCGACAACACCAGTCCATCTCCCACCTTAGAAGTGTAAGAACACTTCCTTTTCGCTATGTCTGACCTTGGACCAAAAGGCAGCTACCCCTGAAAATGGTATAGCATTTTGTCAGAAAGATAGCCTCTGAGATATGGGGGAGGGGTGGGGACAGGGAGGAAGCAAATCTGGAGTCAGAAAACTCCAGCTGAGGCTGACAAGATTATCTGGAACTACCACCATCCCAGGAGGAGGTAAACTAGAGGTGACACTGCTTACCTCAAAGGGTAATTTGAAGATCAAATGAGATAAAGACCTGAAAATGCTTTATAAAGAGTTAGTCACTCAGTCATGTAGCCCGCCAGGCTCCTCTGTCTACATGATTTTTCCAGGCAAGAATAAAGAAGTGGGTAGCCATTGCCTCCTCCAGGGGATCTTCCCCACCCAGGGATGGAACTGGCATCTCCTGTGTCTCCCGCACTGCAAGCAGATTCTTTACCTACTGAGCCATGGGGGAAGCCCCATAGAGCATGCGCTCTACTACTGAGCTACACCCCCACTTATAAAGCATTAGGTAGCTTATAATCACAACAAGGAGCTGCTGTTTCCCAACTTTCCAGACCCTGGGTTGGTTGAATGTCCTTCGCTGAACAGAACCTGACCCCCGCACCTTGAGTTATTTGGGACAGACAGCAGAAGGGCTCCGGGGCTTTTCTCGGAGCCACTGCCTGTCCCGAGTGTCCGAACTGACAGACACTCACTCCTGCCTCCTCGGCTGGTTGCAGGGAAGGGGGTAGGGGCAGGGTGAGGTTTCCTTTTTTCCTGTTTTCATTTGAATTTTTTGAAGGCCAGGCTCAACTCTTGCCTTAAAAAAAAAAAATACATTTTACCTTTCCTCTCTAGCTAGCTGAGGTCCATGGCTACAGCGAATGCAAACCAACCTTTCAAGTTAAAGAATCACAACAAAGTTAAAGACTTTCAGGCCTCTCTTTTCCTCCCCACCCCCCCCCCCCGGCCACGGTCTTCAATGATATTACTATCAGAGCCTGTCATTTAAGAGAGGGGGTGGGGGGGAAAGACGGAAGGTCGGTTCCGGAGACAGAGCTTCCTACATTAACAATGGTCAAGTTTCCCTGCCACTCCATAATTCGACTGACCTCAGCCGAAACAAGCGCCCAAGTCCTTCCTGGGGAAGGAGGGAGGCCGGGGGCGGTGACTCAAATACACCGGCCCGCCGGTCAACCGCAGGCAAACCTGACTCTTGGCCAACTTACAGCGACAGACAGCAGCAAAAGCACAGAAGTCCTTCACCGCCAGCTCCAAAAACACACTGCAACCGCCGGCGGCGCCGCAGTGGCAGCCTCGGTACCAGGTCCAATTCTTTAAGGAGTACGCGTCCCTCCGCCCTCTGTCCCACTCCCCGGGCGGCACACACTTCTCCCCCTCAGGAGGTACCTGGTCCCTCTGCCACTTCCCAGGGCCACAGGGGAAGCGGCCCTGAAGAAGGTTCCCACCGAAGTAGCCCAAAGCCCACTACTCCGTGCCCCATCCCTCCGCCCTCCCGCTCAGATGGGCGCGCGTGCTACTGGCCAAGGTCCCCGTTCTCAAGATGCCGGAGTCCGACGGGACACGGAGGGGCAGGCTGAAAGCAGTGATGGGGCAGGACCGAGCCTGAGGTTCTTAGAGGATAGATGGGGCGGGTCTGGTGGGAGAAGGACACTCTCTCTCCCGCGTCCCCCTCTCCCCCCGCCACGGCCCGCTCACAGACAGTAACTCCAAAACGCACAGGTGCCCCGTAAGGTAAAGGTCTTTTCTCCCTATCGCCTCTCTTCTCTCCCTTGCTCCCCTTCGGACACCTGGTGGAAAAGCAAGGTGCCGGTGTACCTGGAGCGAACACCATGATTTCCTCCAGCCGCCGCGCCCCAAGGTAAGGAGAGACAGACGGGCAGGCGGAAGGTGGGGGGCAGGCCACGGCTTGGGGGCCGGTGCAGGGCGCGCTGGGCGCGGGTCGGGCGCTCAGCACCTCGGACAGCTCCGGCCGCGCGGTCCCTGCCCCGCGCGCTCCGCCTCCACAATGCACCTCTCTGCCCGGCGCCGCGACGCGAGGAGCGGAGGCTGCGGCTCGGTCCAGTTCTCATGCCCGCGCCAGCGCGGCGCACCCGCTGCCCGGGGAGCAGCACCGCTTCCACCGAGAGGGACCGACGGATGAGGAAGAGGGAAAACGTAAATGCCCGGCTTCCCGGCAGGGGGCAGCTAATTGCTTCTAATTACCTGCTGTCTCTCGCCCCCCACCCCCACCGTGGATGTTGGACTGACATTTAGGATGAGTTTGCCCTTTAAAAACACACACACACACACACACACACACACACACATATATAACTCAAAAAGCTTTACTCTAGAGGCTGACTCGAGTTTTCCGAGTTGGGGTGGCTCAGCAGAGGGGTGGGACCCCAGTATTCAGTTAAGGGGTCCTTGGAGTCATGACTCCGCTCTCGCCCCCAAGTCCCAACTAACATCAGAAAGGATGCTGGAGGGAAGAACAAGTTGAGGATGGAGCGTGTGAGGAGGGCACCACATCAGGCCCCCTGCTCCCAAGCTGCTCTGAAAGCTCTGAGCTTGGACACCCTCAAGGTCATCCTGTGAGAGACAGCAGGGCTGTCCAAAGCAGAGGAAAGAGGCCTCGGTGAGGCAGGTCTCCTCCACCAACACACACACACACACACCCTGTGAAAGGTGGGGCCAACAGAGTTCCCTTCAGGTGAGAACAGCCCTGAGACCAATCATGAAACATCAGTGCTTTTCCTGCCTTTATCCAAATGAACGCCCAGCCGGGTGTACACCCAGTTCTACTATGAAGTTACCCAGACGTGGCCCCATGCTCACTTTGAGCTTCTAATCCACTGTTATTTTAAAACATTTTCTCTTTCTGCCAAGAAATGCTTGTGTGGTGTGGACAGCCTACACTAGATACTACCAAGCTTGAAACAAATCCATCTGGGTTACAACCCCTGAGCTAGGGTGACATAAGGATCCTCTATACTCAAAGAGAACGTCAGTGGCTCTGGGTTTTAGCCTCTGTTTTTGCAGCTGAGTGGAGTTTTCCAAGAACGAAGGGTGATCCGGGTCATCACCAGTGTTTCACTGGGGTTTCTTCACTTGCATCTCTCCCTGGAAAATGTAGCTTTTCTGAAAACACCAGATTTCTTACTAATTTGGTTGGTGGCCATAAGCTCTACACTCTTTTGGCAAATAGTAAGCATTCAAATGGCCTTACTGGCACTAGTTTTGTTCAAAGCCATCTGATAGATTGCAAATGCAAATAGTTTTACAGCTCTTGGACTACAGTTTGCATGGAGGCATATGGGCAGTCTGAGCAGAAAACAATCAGTACTGCTCTTAGCACCTGGCTCAATGCAGCCTTGAACAGATGGGGCTTGCCTCAGCAGCAACAAGATGCAAGTCAGCTGATGGGCAGGATGAAGGGTGTGTATATGCAGGATGCAGTCTTCCCACTTCCTGGGTTATACCAGAAATGGGAAACCAATGATGCTTCACTCTCTCTGCTTTATTACCGACAGAAATGCAAGACACTATTTGAAATACTCGTTAAACAACTGAAAGACCTTTCTTTTAATATGCTCAAAAGGTCTCTCTTTTATAAGCTTAAATTTTAATGAGTTTATTCCCTTGGTGCATAAAAAATTTACTGTTTATAAAGTTCAAGAAAAAGCAATGGAGTGTAGGAAAATAAAAAAGGCTTGGGAATCAGTCCACCTCAAATAGAACATCTTCACTGTTTACTAGCTGTGTGACCTCAGGTAAGTGACTTAACTGTATTATCTCAATAGAAGGATTACAGTATCTTGAATGTTTGTTGTGAAGATTGGTGGTGGTGGTTAAGTCGATAAGTCCTGTCCTACTCTTGCGACCCCATGGACTGTAGCCCACCAGGCTCCTCTGTCCAGGGGATTTTCCAGGCAAGAATACTGGAGTGGATTGCCATTTCCTTCTCCAGGAAAAAATAATGGAGTGTAGGAAAAGAAAAAAAGGCTTGGTAATCAGTCCACCTCAAGAATTAAACACATTCCAGGAAATTACTGGGAGTGGAGGACACCCTGAAAGTGAAAGTGAAAGTCGCTCAGTCGTGTCTGACTCTTTGCGACCCCGTGGACTATACAGTCCATGGAATTCTCCAGGCCAGAATACTGGAGTGGATAGCCTTTCCCTTCTCCAGGGGATCTTCCCAACCAAGGGACTGAACCAGGGTCTCCTGCATTGCAGGTAGATTCTTTACTAACTGAGCTATGAAGGAGGACACCCTATAGGAATGCAAACTAAATATGTCAGATATTCTCCTAACCTGTAATTCTCCAACCTGACTGTGCATGTGAAGCCCATGGAGATCTTGTCAAAATGCAGATGATAACTCAGGAGATTGCAGGTGGGCCTGAGATTCTGCATTTCCAACAAGCTCCCTAGTGATGTCCACGCTGTAGGTGCTGCTGGTCCGTGGGCTACACTTTGAGTAGCAAGATGTTGATGTATTAGCATTTAAAAAGAAATTAATTCTAGCACCTCTTTTTGAATATTTTGAAACACACCCTTCATCCTGCCCATCAGCTGACTTGCCTCTTGTTGATGCTGAGGCAGGCCCCATCTGTTCAAGCCCATGTCCCTTTTCAGTCAGTCCCAATCCACCTCTGCGTGTCCCCAAGTCCCTGATCTCCTTTCTGTCACTATAGCTTTTCCAGTTTTTTCTGGAATTTCATATCAATGGAATCCTATAGTTGTACTCTGTGGTGTCTGGTTTCCTTTGCTCCTTACATCGTTGAAATTTACCAATGTTGTACCTCTACTTGCCACAATTTGTGCAGCTCAATAGTGTTGATGGGCTTTGAGGATGTTTTAGCTTCTGGCTATGATGAATAAAGCTACTGTCAATGTTCTGCATAAGTCTGGGTGTGGATTGTGTGCCCAGTCACTCAGTTCTCTATGATAATCACCTAGGAATAGAATGCATGTGTCTTAGGGTAAGTATCAGCTTAATGTTATAAGAAACAATCAAACTGTTTTCCAGGGTGGTTGTTAACACTCTCCATTCCCACCAGAGTTCTAGTTACTCCTCGTCTTATATCTCATCAACACCTTGTACTGTCTGTCCTTGTAATTTTCCGCCTTCTGCAGGGTGTGTAATGATAGCTCACTATGGTTTGAATGTGCAGCTAAGAATGCACTAGCCAATGGGATCCAAGTGGTAAAGAAATTAAGCCAGGGGGAACCCTCTAAGGAGGAGAATAAGAGGTCGTTCTGGATTAGGAGCTGTGAGGCTGAAAGACGAGCTTCCCAAGAGCAAAGTAAGAAAGCTGCCAGAACTGAAGGCAGGATTTCTTGGTTTAAGGTGGAGACTTGAAGGACAGCAAGGTCTCAAGAGCACCTCTGTACGTGACTGCAGAACAATCCCCAGGGAGGAAGTGAAAGAAATCAGAGACTGAAGTGAGGGATGCAGAGGTCACTCTGGAAGGCTGGTGGACAAAGATGAGGAGGTAATGGGCCTCACGGGTTGGCTCCCATCAGTGGATGTTGGGCAGGGGCATGGATAGTTAGAACTACGGAGAAGTTGCCAGATAAATCTAAGGAGAAAACAGTTACAAGGTCTTTGAATAAGCCAATAATGCATAACTAGCATGGTAACAGGCTTCTCCGGGGTGGCTCACGAGGTAAAGAACGTGCCTGCTCCCGGGTTCAATCCCTGGGCAGGGAAGATCCCCTGGAGAAGGAAATGGCAGCCCACTCCAGTATTCTTGCCTGGAGAATTCCATGGACAGAGGAGCCTGGCAGGCCACAGTCCATGGGGCTGCAAAGAGTGGGACACGACTGAATGACTAACACTTTCACTTTCTTTCGTGGTAATTGATTTTTACACCACTTTAAGGAACAACAGTAGACCTTAGGCTAGATCTTACTGCTTCAGAGAGAGACTGACCTGAGTTCAGAAAATAAGCAATCACTTTCTTAGCATCTGAATGTTAAAATAAGTGCTTGAAATGCAGAACAGAGGCTAAAAGTCTTGAGAGCTGAGGCTTTCAATCAATTGCCAGAGCAGAGGGGAAAGGTTTTGAGTCCCAGCCCCAAGGTTAAGTTTGTAACATAAATAGAGCTGGAATGAAAAGCAGGAAAAAAGCATAGCCAGTTTTGCATTTGTTTTATTTTGTTTGAAAACTCATTCAAACCCCAAAGGAAATATTTTGCATTTATTTTGCTTGAAATCTCCTTTGGGGCTTGGAGGCAAGGTTTTTGTTGTTTTTTTTTTTAACATGGATAGAGAAGAAACTATAGATTTAGCAAGGTCTCCAAACAAAGGGACTGTGTCTCAGCCTGCTCCCAGCCCTGGTCAATCCGTGGAGAGGTGGGGCCTGTCAACTGCAACCTGGCATTTGCTATGCTTGCCATCTGCCTCTACGAGGATTAAATCATGTGCTGCCGCAGCTGCTGACCCTCAACACTCCTTGAAGGAGTTGAGGGTGGAGAACAGAAATGAGGCACTCTGTGCTCAGGGGAAAAACTGGCAGGACAGGTCTTCATATATTCTCAGGAGCTGATTTTATGAACCCAATTGTATCTCCTCGTATCTATAAAAGCACTAAAATCCTTCATGGTGATGACTGTTTCTCGTAACTAGCAAAGGCTTCATGAGACGTCACGAGAAACTTTTTGGCAAAATACGTGCTTGATTGCATGTATTCCCCTCTTTACCAAAATCACATCTATACTGACCTTCCCCCCTGCCCCTCTGGAGCAGTTTCTCAGAGCTATCTGAGGTTGTCGTCCAGGCTGCAGCCTTCATATTACCCCAAATAAAACTTAACTCTCATTGTTATGCATTTTTTTTCAGCCAGCAGGCCTCAAGGGGAAATGACTTGAGAACCCAGATGAACTTGGAAAAATCCCAAGATCTTCATCTGACTTCCAAGGATTCATAGCTCAAAAAGTTCTCCAGCCTCTTGAAAATTTCCAGGCTGAGGCTAGAGGGATAATGTACAGATGGCAAAGTGAATGGTCAGGCAGGTGAGCTTCAGGGTCACCTTCTAGGCCCCTGCCAGCCCTAGAGAACACTCACACACACAGAAGGGCTTGG